TTATTTAAACACAGCTGCAGTTGCCGTTCAATAGTATGTATATTCTTACCCCGACAAGAAATATTAAAATCATCCACAAAAAGTGATCCATCAATTGAATGGGTTAAAACCTTGGATAAACTGTTGATCTTAATGCTAAATAAAGTGACAGACAAAACACTGCCTTGTGGGACACCCTGATCCTGAATGGAATGATCAGACAGAGTAAAACCCACGCAGACTTGAAATTGTCTGTCATTTAAAAAGTTGGCTATAAATTGAGGCAAGTGGCCTCGCACTCCAAAGCCATGTAAATTGTTTAAAATGCCATATTTCCACGTGGTGTCAAATGCTTTTTCTAGATCAAAAAAGATAGACACAGCGTGCTGTTTATTAATTACAGCGTTTTTAACACATGATTCTGAACGCACCAAGTGATCGACACTACTTCTGTTTTTACGGAAACCACATTGTATATCTGTTATTAGGTTATTGGTTTGAAAGTACCAAACAAGTCGATTGGTAATCATGCGTTCCATGGTCTTGCAAACACAGCTAGTTAGTGAAATTGGCCTATAATTGGAAGGATCAGTATGATCACGTCCAGGCTTAGGGATGGGCACAATTAAAGCATCACGCCACGACGAAGGAAATTGTCCAGATGTCCAAATGTCATAAAAAATACGTAGGAGCGTCTCCAAACATGATTCAGGTAAGTGTTTCAGGAGTTGATAATGTATACTATCAGCTCCTGAAGCAGTATCGTGAGCTTGGTCAAGAGCAGTATGAAGCTCATGTATCGAAAAGGTTTCATTGTAGTCTTCCCCATTGTCTGAATTGAAATTAATAGATTTCTTTTCCTGCTGTCTTTGATATTTCTGGAATTCAGGTACATAGGTAGATGAGGAAGAATGTTTGCCCAAAGTTTCTCCAAATTTATTTGCTATGTCAGATTTATCAGTTAATAATTCATCTCCATCTTTGAGATGCTTAATGCTAGATTTAGAGCCCTTACCTTTTATTTTCTGGATCATGTTCCATACCGTTGATATCGGCGTGCTCGAATTGATGTTTGATACATAGTTTACTTTGTTTAAAAGTATGCCGTCTTTTGGCATTTAAAATTTTAAATTTGTTTAAATTGTGGACCATAGGATGCCAACGGAAATAATGTTCAGCTTTCTTCCGTGCCTTGCGAGCTAGTTTGCATTCAGCGTTAAACCATGGTTTACGTACACGAGGAACTGCAGAGGATTTTGGGATGGAAGATCATGAAAAAGTTCAGGTTTGAGTTTGTGAGCACAGAAAGTTTCATACAAAGACCAGTTAGCCTTCTTAAAGTTCCATCTTGATGATGGAGGAACATCAGATGGATTCACGGGTTTTAGTATTGTTTGGAATGGTCACTTCCACATAGTCGTCATTGACTGACCACTCAAATTCATTCAATAGGTCTGAATCTGTAATTGATAAATCAAGACCAGAATACGTTCCTGTGCCAGGATGTAAATAAGTGTTAGAACCGTCATTGTATATGCATAAATCATTATCTGAACAAAAGTCTTCTAATAGTTTACCTTTAGCATTAGTAGTTGTACCACCCCAGAGCGGGTTGTAGCCATTTAAATCTCGCATAATGATACAAGGTTTTGGGAGTTGGTCATATACATTTTGAAGGTCAGTCTCCTGAAGAGTTGAAGATGGTGAGATGTATAAAGAGCATAATGTGAACGCAACATGTAACGTCAGTCGTACGGCAACCGCCTGGAGACCAGTATTAAGTATAACAAGGCTATGGATAACATTTTGTTTCATAAGGATCGAAGATCCTCCAGAGGACCAATCACCTGGAGGTGAAAAGGAATGGTAAGCATTGAAATGGCGTAAATCAAATGTCTCCTCGAGATAGATGGCTGATGGTGTGAAGTCCTGGACTAATAGCTGCAAATCTTTGAAATTATTCCTTAGCCCTCTGCAGTTCCACTGTACAATATTATTAAAAGACATTATCTTTTGGGGGGATTTATAGGGGATCTACCCCGCACTTTTTGGAGGGCGACAAGCTATGTGCCCTAGAATGGACGTTTTCAGATACGTCCATGGCCTCAAGAGATCCATATTTGTTGTATGACTGAATTCTTTTTTCTTTTGGGGCTTTGCAACTTTGTTTTTTGAAGGTATCAAGCTTCTGTTTATGTTTGCTTTTAGCAGTTTGCTGAGTATCAGATGACGATGGAGATTGTGAACGTGATTGAGTAAGTGACTTGTGATCTGAAGATGACTCTGCCTGCCTTTCAGATGTACTAGGAAGTGATTCCGTGGTTTGAAAGTAACGGTGCATTATTTGATGTTATACCATATTTTAAAGCAAAAGATAATAACATGATTTGTGGTGTTTTCCTTAATCAATGTTTAACTGTTAACAGGATGAGATCTAAATCTGTATGATTTGACACTAGGCATCATGACAAGCCCTTGAAGAGATGTGGTGTCAAAAGTCATTTCACAAATTCAGCATCGTGTGTGTCCACCATTGGTGTTGATGCAGGTTTGACAACGACGACGCATAGACGACACTAAACAATTGAAGAAAGCTTGGGGAATGATTTTTCATGTATGAAACAAAGCTTCTTCCAAGTCAGCTAAGTCAATGGCTGATTCTGAGTTTGACGTAAATGTCTCCCCATCTCACCCCAAACATGCTTAGGGAACTGGTCCGGGGAAACAGCTGGCAAGGGGAGTACAGGAGTGTTCCGCTGTATCAGGAAATCTGTGATAAAACAAACAACATGTCGACGGGCATTATCTTGCGGAAGCGTGAAGTTACGTCTCTGTCCTTGAATGAACGGCTCCACATAATGTCCAATAATCTCATCTCTGTATCGCAGTCAGATTGCCACTGACAATGACAAGTTGTGTCGGACGATGATATGTGATAGCACCCCATACCATAACGCTTTCGATACCAAACTGTCAACGTTGACAACAGACACGAAGCATACCGTTCAGCATCACCATCTGTACACCTTTGCCCTGCCATCTGAGCTGTCCAAAAGAAACCTCGACTTGTCAGAGAACATAACACCATAACAATCCTGTTTCATATGCCATAGATGCTGTCTGCATCAGGCAAGACGTGCCTGTCGGTGACGTTGAAACAAAATTGGACGTATTGCAGGCCATCAGGGCTGGATATTGTGCGCACTCAATCGCTTCCGTACAGTCCTGGAACTGATTGGACGTAAACCAGGATTGTTCCTGAGCAGTCAAAGTGGCAGTCTGGAATCGATTTCTTAGATGGGTCAGACGCATGTGGTTTTCTTGCTGACGTGACGTCACGCGTGGACGGCCGGTCCGACGCAAATCTCTCGTGTTGCCATAATGTTGAAAACGTCTCCATAGAGATGAAATCGTGTTTCGATGGACTCCAAAATCTCTGGCCACTTCAGTTTGGCCATTCCAGTCTCCAGCATACCCACGGCGCAGAGACGCTGATTTTACATACATACATACATACATACATACATACATACATACATACATACATACATACATACATACATACATACGTGTACGTACGTACGTACGTACATACATACATACACACACACGCACACACACACACGCGCGCACACACACACGAACACACACGTATACATACATACATACATACATACATACATACATACATACATACATACATACATACATACATACATACATACATACATACATACATACATACATACATACATACATACATACATACATACATACATACATACATACATATGTCCTTATATTGTTATATTTTACCTATTCTACGTGTACTTTTAATGTATATATGAGGTGACACTCAAATAAACTATCTGTGTGTGTCTGTCTACACCCTACGCATGTCTACATATACAGCAAATATAGGTCCATTTGTAGTTATATAAGTTATATTGTCATCGGTTCCCAATTGCGCAGATCGATGCTCATGCTGTTGATCACTGGATTGTCTGGTCCAGACTCGATTATTTACAGACCGCCGCCCTATAGCTGGAATATTGCTGAGTGCGGCGTAAAACTAAACTCACTCACTCACTCACTATATAAGTTATATACACTTGTAGCTACTGCAATCTGTGTCCTGGCAAAGACATATTTGTACCCAATTATGACAGAATGAATCGTAGCTTATATTTAGTGCCTAGAAATGTTCAGTAGGCTCTCCTGGTCAAACAGGATAGTCATACCGTTTATGTAGTAGTGTTGAACAAAGCTATACACTATGGCATTTATGTTGAACTTGATGCGAAACTATAGCTTTCTCTGTGGACATGCATTGTTTCAGACCCCACACGAACAGGTGTAAGCCCATTTCTGGTGTCCCCCGCCGTGATATTGCTGGAATATTGCTAAAAGCGGCGTAAAACTGAACTCAGTCAGTCAGCCCATGAGTGGGTGAGCAAGTTTAGTTTTATGCCGCACTCAGCACTACTCCAGCTATAAGACCCGTGACGATCCCGGTGAGAATTGACGACTAACTGAATCGAATTGAAAGAATCGATGACTTGTTCACACAAGTCATCGTATCCCATATGCGTAGATCGATGCTCATGCTGCTGATCACTGGATTGTCTGGTCCAGGCTCGTTTATTTACAGATCGCCGTCATTTAGTTGTAATAATGCTGAGGGCAACCTTAAACAATAAACAAACAAACAACACACTATGTAACACAAGTGTAAAGTAAGCGTTTCGATGTATGACACAATATATGCACTAATACTAACAATGTTTGTTGCCTAAACTGCAGAAATATGTACAATTAAAATAAATAATATATCTGTATCTATATATATATAGATGGTTCCTTCAAGTTAAAACAAAGGTATCTTACAAGTGAACATATTAAAGTTTCATTTGAATATTTCAGAACAAGCGTCGTTTAATTCTCCACAAGATAGAGTGGTACAAGAAAACATAATTCTCTTTTCCATGTTTAATGCAGCACTTGATACAGATGCTGGAGAACTATTTATCCGTTGTATGACCCAGCGCTCTGTACGTGTGACAAGATCGGTGCGGCATCAGACTGTCATAATTATCTGTTGTTATATTAGTGACACCACGTGCTTCACTTTCAGCATTATCCCCTCTTCCTTCCATCGAGAGCTGATGTGCTCCTGCATTGTTTGCTGTCATCCGTCCGACTTCGGGAAATATTTCTATAGTACCTGATAACTTCTCAGTATCAACGGTACCGAGGGGTGCATCCCATGGTTCATCAGTGTCTTGAGTCATGAAGCTTGTCTCTGCAAGCGCATCGATACGCCCTGCTGTCATACTTCCAGAGTCTCTTCCATGGACCGACCAATCAGCAACAGAAAGCAGGGGGTCTGAATAAGAGGAGGCTTCAGGTAATGTTATGTTCATTTCACCCGTAATGTCTTCCACACTGTCCTGGTCAGGTTGCTGCATTGGAGCTCTCTTTTCTTGCTCTTCTGCAAGCTCTTCACTGTTGATAGTGTCCAGTGGTTTCACCTCTTCATATTCGTCATTCTCATCTACCTTCCTACAGTTACGTTCTAACTGTTGCCTTTCTCGCCGGATTCTTGCACCAGGTGGAATATTGTCATCAGATTGGATTTTACCGACAGGTCGCGCAAGGTTGCCTGCGCCACGTTCAAGTAAATCAGCATTGTCGATTTCAGCATAGCCTTGACTATCGATATTTTCTGGCATGTTCTGCATTGGTGTGATGTACGATCGTTGTGACCTGTGAAATATAGTAAGCCTTAGAGAAGGCTACGTGTATACCATATACATATATGACTGTATGATAATCTAAACATTAAGTGCCTAGTTCCGTCTAGCTTGCTCACAGGCGTTTACAGAGGCCTGTCCGATCACAGACAAAGAGATAGGTCTTCAGTTGTCAGTGGAATGTTTCCTTATTACATGTGAAAATGACCACAAGTAAGAGTATATGACTGATTCGAACACTTGGTGAATAAACAGAATACCATTACCTTAAGTTCCAGTAATCTGAAAAATAGGAATGATGACCTTAATGATTCATGTTTGACATTATGTTGCAAACGAAACCAAGGTCAGAGGGATGAAAGCGATTAAAAGCTGATATTAAAGGGTCTCTGAATGACAATTGGAAGTGATACATGAAAAGGATGAAAATTTATTGAAGTCAACATCTGTCCTGTGCTGCCACGACATTCAGAGTATATTTTTACTCCTTCACCACATGAAGAAAACTACAAAGCAGATGCCTGTATAAGTACATGTGTGACAAGACTAGTGATCAGATGACAATGGTGGACGCTTAACAAGGGAAGCTAACAGTTAATGGTCCCAGCAAATAATCATACCCTGGACAAAGGGAGATAACCACCCTGATAGATGATAATGAAGGCATGAGTGTTCTGACTGCTTCTGGGTATAGAGAACCGCACACATGCCCGTTTGATTCACAGTGGCGTAAAGCACAACTCACTCACTCACCTAAACAGTAATCTGATTTGATGAACACATTAAATTAGGTTAACTTGTCGTTTGATCCTTATCGGCATAATAGCTGCAACGATGAACACAGTCAGCACAATAAACAAGGCACAACACCCGACGATGATGTAAAGGACGACCGTAGTAACGCCTGAAATATAAAATTCCACTTCAGTTTCCAAACTGATCTATTTCCTGGCTGTCAGTAACTAGCTGAAACCATGTTTCCCATGTGTGTTGTGAATTCTTTTGTCCAATAGAGTTTAATGTCGCAGAAGATACTGGTTTAAGAAAATCATGTTTGTCCTTCGACATCGAACTGTTACAAATGGTTTATGAAAAAAACCACACGAAATATTAAAGAGGACACACACATTTATTTAAAGAAAATAAAATTGATCGATATTTTTTCTCAAAATATTTTAATAATAATGGTGAGTGAGTTAATATTTAACGTCACATCGGCAATATTTCAGCCATATCGTGACGAGAACATTCGATATTAGAATGAAATATCTGTATATTATAAAACACCTGCCGACGAAGGGCAGTAAAACAACTAGAATATCACAGATATCAATATAAAACTAGCGAACAAAGCTAAAATATTCCAATTAAAGAAGACAATACAATGTAAAAATGGGCTGTAGATCGCCAACAACTGAAGGTAGATCACCATACTAGGAACCATGGGGACTTACATTACTTTCGCTACCTGCATGGATCCTAGTTGGATTTACACCATCCCTTCAGCAGCTGGCGATTGTAGGACAAGTTTAGCCAAAATTTAAATGAACAAATATACTACGATTAAAAATCGGGTAAGCAAAAAGTTAACTTTGAAAGTTTTAGGACTTACGTACCCTCTCAGGAGGACAATAATTTTACACTACTTCAACCCCCTTTGAGGGTACAGCCACTAACAATCTCAGTTACTAATTCAAACTACCAATAATAAAATATTTATCTATTTACAAATCACTTAACAAATCTAATTCTTTTAAAAAGGCAATAACTAAATGAGAACTAACATTATTAAGAAGGTCCTTCAATGTTTTGACATTAAAATACTTATCCCTTGTAATGGAATATTCAATGCAGTCAAGCAAGACATGCTTGACTGTGATTCTTTCATCACAAGGGATACAGAACGGAGGATCCTCACCTTTTAATAGGTACTCATGAGAATATCTAGTGTGGCCAATACGACATCGTCGTATGATGACCTCTTCAAATCTGGACTGACAACCCAAGTAGGTGTAACCAATATAGGGTTTTATTGCATGTAATTTATTAATACCTACTTGGGTGTCCCACTTCTTCTGCATTAGATCTCGGATGTAAGTTCTAATGCTGGCTTTATAATCAGAGTATGGGATAAGAAGTGATGTCACAGATTTGTTGAGGGCTGCCTTAGCAGCAATATCAGCCATCGTGTTCCCAGAAATGCCAACGTGGCTGGGTAACCAACAAAAGACGATGTCGCATTGGCCAGTAGCAAGATCATTATATAATTCAATTATTTCAATTAAAAGTGGATGTTTCCAAGATAGATTTTTAATCGCCTGAAGGCAAGATAGAGAGTCAGAAAAGATGATATATTGTTTATATTTACGGTGTTTATTAATATATTTAAGAGCTGTTAAGATGGCGTTTGCTTCTGCTGTGAAAATTGAACTGTCATTGGGTAGTCTGGAAGATATTGTTTTGGACCCAATGACAGTGGCACAAGTAACCGCGCCACCAACCTTGGATCCATCTGTATATAAGGATTTATAGGTATTATATTTATTTCTTAATTGACTAAATTCTTGTTTATATTGTAAATCATTAGTTTCGGATTTAAATGTGGTTAATGTTAAGTCAACTTCTGGTCTCACCAATTGCCAAGGAGGAGAAGAAAGAAGACGAGAAGGAGATATATTCTCCAGCTCAATGCCAGCAGCAGAAAGGAATGGTTTAATTCTGTGCCCAAGAGGCGGAACAAGAGAAGGCTTTTTGTTATACAAATCCTCATAAAGAGGATTGAAGACACAATTAAATGCAGGATTAGATTTGTTTGAATATAGTTTAGTAATATATTGTAAGGATAATTTAATACGGCGTTGGGAAAGCGAAGGCTCATCTGCCTCAACATATAGACTATCAACTGGAGAGGTTCTAAATGATCCAAGACAAAGTCTTAGACCTTGGTGGTGAACAGAATCAAGTAATTTAAGGTTGCTTTTGCAGGCTCCTCCATATATGATCGAACCATAATCAAGTTTAGATCGTACCAATGCTCGGTATAAGTGAAGGAGCGTAGTTTGATCCCCTTCCCACTTTGAGTTGGAAACAACTTTTAACAAATCGAGTGCCTTCAGGCATTTAGTTTTAAGTGTTTTAATATGTGGTAGAAACGTTAAGTGTGAGTCAAACATAATACCCAAGAACTTGGCCTCCTTCACAACTTTGATAGGAGTGCCATTTAGAGATAGTTCCGGGTCTTTATGCGGCTTATATTTTCTACAAAAGTGTAGACAATTAGTTTTGGACTTGGAAAATTTAAAACCGTTTTCAAGACACCATTTATGTATTTTATTTAAACACAGCTGCAGTTGCCGTTCAATAGTATGCATATTCTTATCACGACAAGAAATATTAAAATCATCCACAAAAAGTGATCCATCTATTGAATCATTTAAAACCTTGGATTAACTGTTGATCTTGATGCTAAAAAGTGTGACAGACAAAATACTGCCTTGTGGGACACCCTGATCCTGATTATAATGGTCAGACAGGGTAGAACCCACTCGGACTTGAAATTGCCTATTAGCTAAAAACTTGGATATAAATTGAGGCAAACGGCCTCTCAATCCAAAATCGTGTAAATCTCTTAAAATACCATGTTTCCGTGTAGTGTCATATGCTTTTTCTAAATCAAAAAAGATTGACACTGCATGTTGTTTATTAATTATGGCATTTTTTACAAAAGATTCTAAACGCACTAAATGATCGATGGTACTACGGTTTTTACGGAAACCACATTGTATATTAGTTATAAGGTTATTGGTTTCCAAGTACCAAACAAGTCGATTGTTGATCATGCGTTCCATGGTTTTGCAAACGCAGCTAGTGAGTGATATTGGTCTATAATTAGAGGGATCTGTATGATCCCGTTTTTAATAATAATGAATGGCATTACTTTGGTCAGTGTTGGCGGTTGTAGCTGTAGAAAGAAGTATCCCGGTAGTTGTCGCAGCTGAGGTTTGTGTGCTGGTGACAGTCACTGTGTTAGATGTGACATCTACAACAACAGGAAACAAATAGTAATACCATCCACCATCTGGATCGTAATCAAAGTGAGTGAGTGAGTGAGTTTAGTTTCACGTCGCACTCAGCTATATGTCGGCGGTCTGTAAATAATCCAGTGATCAACAACATTAGCATAGATCTGCGCAATTGCGAACCGAAGACATGTGTCAACCAAGCCAGTGAGCCTGACCACCCGATCGCGTTAGTCGCCTCTTTCGACAAGTATGGGTTACTGAAGATTCCATTCTAACCTGGACCTTCCCGGGTGTATCATAAGCACAGGTAAAATGGAAAATCTGAAGGGATTGTTATCTTAGGAATTATAAAGTTTGCTCCAGACATATAGTTTAAATATTTGCTCTAAAATTGACAGCATTCGAACCTCCAAACTCTACACATTGTATTTTCAAATACCGGGAAATTTCATGCAGGGACTTGGGACAGTGGGATATGAAGGTGCCCCGCAGCAATATCTTGTTAAGAGAGAGCGTTTCGATCGTAACGTACCCTGAGTATTTGCTGACGTCATGGAGGCTGGAGCCGCCGTTTGAGGTTTTGTTTGACCGATGGTGGAAGGTACAATACTAGTTGAGACCTGTGTAATCTTACGATCTGAAAAAGGATACATTCCAAAACATTTTACTTCAACTTGTTTTGAAGGATGGAAGCCACTATTAACACTAATGATCTATAAGCTACCCTGCCAAGGAGAGTGTCACGTCCAGATAAAACTGATCAACTGTATCCAATACAGTTTTTCCTGTAGTACCGCTGAACATATCTTGAGCCCAAACTGGTTTGCTTCAAAGCGATTTTCTATTGCACATGTGTAACATTACCCAGAATTTGTTATCGCAGGACATCCAGGTGAGATGCCGTAGGACACAGAAAGGTACTCTTATTGATAATGCTTTAAATATTCAAATATATACTCGAGACTGCAATCACAAGGTTGTGGCCACCATAAAATGATCTTCGCTTGTAATCACTCAAGTCATATCGACCAGCGTCCCCCTTTGTAACATTACAGATCAGCAACTTAACTGTTTTCCGGTAGGGTGAAGTGAGCAGTCTGACGACCTTCACTTTTGATCGACTGTTTTGCCAGATATAGACAGAGAAAGATTGTATGGTGGCAATGGGTCCACCACTAGGAGACCAAAACCACATCGCATCATCCGTCACCCTCTATGTCGGGAATATGGTGACATCATTGCCTTCACTTGCAGTTGTGGTGGTATTAGATGAGACTGAAACATTGAGAAAGTGTCCTTTTAGCAATTGACAGAAAACAAAATATGGCCATGGTTTGCATAAATGTATGTCAGGGTATGTATGTTTTAATGTCAGTATTTATTGTGAATAACGATGAATATTCTTCCATTATGATGTCATCGCATGTAATGTTTATACGGGACGTTTTTACGGGAATTGTCCGTACTATGGTTCTTGATTGTTTGTTCAATAACGATGATACCTTACATCGGTCTCACCTTCTTGTCCAAATATGTACTCGTCAGTGTTTAAGGAAGATGACCATGTTCAAACTGCCACTTCAACCTGACACATGTATCTCTTTCCTTCATCAGTCATCCTCGTGTATTGGTGTAGTATTTGTGTATGCTGTTTACAAATGACCCGGACCCTGAGCTCATCTCATAATTCCCTCCATGGATTAATCTTTCATCGTTTTTCTTCCACGTGAAGGAGATGGACGTGAAGAACTTTACTTCACTTAAAACATAACATGTCAGGTTGACATCACTGCCATACTGGACTCTTTCAGGAGACACAATGTAAGGATCCTGCGTGTAATCTGTAAACACAGACATCACCGACTTGGCTAATACTGATCGTGGCAGCTTCAAAGTGTCAATGTAACATATCGCATTTAATACAACTGTTTACTTGTTACATGTGTGATACTTTATTTACATTGAAATTATGCATACGAATAAAACATATTGGATTTGTTATATTTGTAAGTAGGCTGTATAAAAATGATATAACACAGCACTACCAATATAACGTAATAAGCTGTAACTAGCAAGTGTAGCAATAATGCACTGATGTGCAAGTTAATCTACAACAATCAAATCGACTTACTTTGAGCGTCGGGTCCACGTCCAGCTACAGAAATATTTTGTACCTCAGCTCCACATTGGACCGCGCCATTGCCGTCATAAAATGTATTAATAGAGAGGAGCACCTGATTGAGAGGAGCACCTGATTATAGTGACTAAGCATTAGTAGTTCATGTATTGATCTGTATAGCGATCTCTGTGGAACTATACTATGAGTGAGTTTAGTTTTGCGCCGCTTGTAGCAATATTCCAGTAATATCACGGCGGGGGACACCAGTAAGAGGCTTGACTCACTGTCCATGTGGGAAATCGAACCGGGTCTTCGGCGTGACATGCGAACGCTTTACCCATTTTGGCTACCCCACCACCCAACTATACTATGATGGTCACGGAAAGTATGAGTGGAGTGGACTTACCAGGTCCATGGCAGCTCATGTACTACTGAAGCATGTATTTTGATAAATCAGGACAAACTTCCTTATCAGAACGCAACATCCGCAAGTTGATCCATTCAACGACAAACAGGGAATATTTATAAAACATTCTCTGACACTACGGGCTCTGTGTAATGGTGGTCAGTTTCAGACAAAAGTAAAAGAATGAGTTTAACAGCGCTTTGAGGAATACTAGTATTTAAGCAATATCACAGCGGGGTCACAAGCAATGGGTTTCAGACATTGTACCCATGTGTGGAATCGAACCCCTCTCTTCAGCGTGTCGAGCGAACGCTTTAACCACCAGGCTACCCAACTGATCCTTCTGACAACACAGGACTCACGAGCTGTGTATATGTTAATACATAGTCTAATGATAACAGTAGCATTGATCGTCCATATTAAGACAACTAAGCTAGTTCTCGATGGTCGCCAGTGTCTCGCCTTTTTACACAAAGGGCAAGGGCGTTGTATCTGGGTAAATCTCAAGAAATGGACACATCGGCGTTTGGAGATGGAATCATGTCCTCATGGCAACTTATATCGAGGTCTACGAAGAAAGTTTTAAAGTTTGTTCATTGTTAAGGTTAATCATGCTGTCACCTTTTTAAGATATTTAGGAACCATGATCATTATTATTCATCATACTAGCATAATGTTTATACTTCGTGTATTTGTGGAAAGTACATTTTACTCAAGATAATATTACATATAAATACCTATTCTTCAGGTTTAATACATTTACACACACGTATAGACAGACAGACAGACGTATAGACAGACAGACTGACAGACACACACACACACACACACACACACACACACACACACACACACACACACCCCTCCGGAATAACAGAACGCGTCCTTCATACCATACATAAGTGTGACGTGTTCACTTTTACACTCTACTTTAGCCGCATTTGTTTTATTTAAACAACCCAACGATTTGCAGAATCTGTCGTTTTGGTCAGTTTTAGCCGTCACGTACTAATAAGTCCTATGTTACATTTGAACGGTTCTAACGAATGCGTAGCGGTCTTTAAGAATAAAGCACAAACACCAAAATGATTTTTGTAAGAAGCGGCACGATTGGTGATCCTGGTGAAGCTCACTGGCCCAGTTGATTGTGTTCGAAGCCAAACGTCTTGGGAGTGGACTGAAAACACAGTTTGAAAACATGATCATAAATCCGACGCATGTGTGCATATACAGCAGAGATAGGTCCATTTGTAATTATGTATGTCATATTAAACATGTGTATACAGTAATCCGTGTTCTGGAAAAGACATAATTGTGCAAAATGTTGACAGAATGAATCGAAGCTTATACATTGTGCCTAGAAATGTTCAGTAGGCTCTCCTGGATGCACTAGTGAGTGAGTGAGTGAGTGAGTGAGGTTTACGCCTCCTTTAGCAATATTCCAACAATATCATCGCGGGGTACACCAGAAATGGGCTTCACACATTTTACCCATGTGGGGAATGGAACCCGTGTCATCGGCGTGAAGAGCGAACGCTTTAACCACTAGGCTACTCCACCGCCCGGAGCCACTAGGATATCATACATATACAGCTGAGATAGGTCCATTTGAGATAGAGAGCATGAAGTTCACAGCTATTTTAAGTCATAACCACTTAATGGTTAAATGTGCCAAAACCTGTTTTAATATATACTAGCGGAATAAAGTAACTGTGCATTATTTGATGTTATACCATATTTTAATGCAAAAAGATAATAACATTACTTGTTGTGTTTTCCTTAATCAATGTTTAACTGTTAACAGGAGGAGATCTAAATCTGTATGATTTGACACTAGGCACCAAGACAAGCCCTTGAAGAGATATGGTGTCAAAAGTCATTTCACAAATTCAGCATCGTGTGTGTCCACCATTGGTGTTGATGCAGGTTTGACAACGATGACGCTTAGACGACACTAAGCAATTGAAGAAAGTTTGTTGAATGATGTTTCGTGTCTGAACCAAAGCTTGTTCCAAGTCAGCTAAGTCAATGACTGATTCTGGGTTTGACGTAAACGTCTCTCCATTTTCACCCCAAATATGTTTAGGGAACGGGTTCGGAGAATCAGCTGGCAAGGGGAGTACAGGTGTGTTCCGTTGTCTCAGGAAATCTGTGATAAAACAAACAACATGTCGACGGGCATTATCTTGCGGAAGCGTGAAGTTACGTCTCTGTCCTTGAATGAACGGCTCCACATGATGCCCAATAATCTCATCTCTGTATCGCAGTCAGATTGCCACTGACAATGACAAGTTGTGTCGGACCATGATATGTGATAGCACCCCATACCATAACGCTTTCGATACCAAACTGTCAACGTTGACAACAGACACGAAGCATGCCGTTCAGCATGAGCCGTCTGTACACCTTTGCCCTGCCATCTGAGCTGCCCAAAAGAAACCTCGACTTGTCAGAGAACAAAACACCATAACAATCCTGTTTCATATGCCGTA